GTGAAGGTGTACACAGATGTGTCTGGGAAGAGTCTGAAGTGACTGTTGCTGCTGTGAAGGACTTTGGTAGTGTGAGAGGTTAAAGTCTGAGCCAAGTCATCCCGTTTGATAACAGAGAGGAGGTGGTGAGGGCCATACAGGAACCATGTGACAGGCTTCTCCAAGGGATAGATACACCTGATGAAGATACAGCAAGAGGAGCCACTGCCAGAGCTCCTGGAGGCAGAGTCCACATGGAGGTTATTCAGGGACTAATCGAGAGCCAACAGGTGAAAAATGCTGCTGTAATTAAGATAAATCTTAACTCACAATAAAACACATTTTCTAGACTCACCAAATCTCCTGCTCTTGTCCTAGGTGGATGCTTTGGTGTCTCCTATGGTTGGCCATAATCCTCACTCTACCCGTGTTGGAAATGCTTTATTTGCAGTAGCTGGACGCCAGCTGACCACAAGGTTTAGAAAGGAAGCAGGCGATGAAACAATGCCTGGTGACTCAGTACTGCTGGAGGGCTTACCTGGACTTCAGTCTAGTGCAGTCTTCTTCCTCAGTCTTGTTCCTTGGAATGGTGACCCAGACGGCGTGCCAGTCCAGGTGAGATAGTAAAGGAGGGATTTTATTATACTGCCTGTTTGTGAGGACACTTTTAATGGAGTCATTTGCCATAATCCAGTATTTTTACCCACTATAGGTTCTTCGAATGGGCATCAGAAAGATCCTATCTTCCTGTGAGACAAAAGGATTCACATCTGTCGCTCTTCCCGTCATTGGTGCTGGGATTGCTCTGAAATTTCCTGACAGTGAAGTGAAGAGGGTGTTAACAGAGGAAATGCACATATTTGAACAGGAGCGAACAGGCATCACACCATTCCTGATCCGCATCGTCATTCACTTTGATGACGTGGAGACACTCAAGGTAATGGAACAATTTTTTTCCCTAAAAATCAACTACCGACAAATGCTGAGATTTGAAGAATGCCACCATTCCTTATCCTTAGAAAACAAAGAAACTCAGAATATATTAATCAAATATGTCACAATTGGAAAAGCTCATTTTCCTATATCAGTCAGCAGGAACAGTCTCATCTGACCCCAATATTTGGTTTATCCTTCATATTTTATTTTTCAAAGCAGCAAGGCTTCAGGAGGCTTCACAAACCTGATTTGACTTTAACTTGGAAACATACTGTAAACACAATCATTAACCAATCAGCTATTGTTTCCTCTGCAATATATACATTATATACAGGAATCATTACTAATGCTGGAAATTTGTTGTCTTTGCAGACATTTGGCTCTGTCCAAAATAAACAATTCACTGAAGATGTTCAAAATAAAGACCAAGATCAAGGTAGGTGTAGAAAATATCCACAGATAAGAATCCAGACAGTGCTTTTTTAAACATAAATAATAATTTGATTCTTTTTGTTAAAAAATCTTTTAAAAAAGAGACCATAATAAAACATCAACAGGAAATCACAACATCTGATGTAGAATATAAAAAACATTCAGTCCATCAAATGATACTAAATAGACAGCCTTTGGACAACAGCTCAAACACCCAGTATTTTGGAGGATTCAGACAGTCTTGCATTAACCCTCCAAAGACTGACTAAAAGCTTCACCTAACAGCAAACAATGTTCTCCTCTTATCATTTAGTATTCAGGTCTCATATTATCCTTT